AGTAATATATCATATGGTCCTCCAACTCAAAATTCTAATATTTTCATTAGGAATAGAAAAGAAAAAAAATTCTGATTTGAAAACAAATACTTACCAATGGATTTCCTGTGGTTCTCTGAACTATTGAGCGTAAGATCCCAGCCATTGCATTTATTTGGTCTCTGTAGGCTGTCAGAAAATAAATCATGAGGTCAAATATGTTAGAAAATAGATACAATTCTCCTTCTTAACAGTATTTTAAAAACTAACAAGTTAATTTTAAACCTTAATGAACTTTCAATAGTAAAAGACTAGTTATTTTAATATAGTAAGGATAATAAGTTTCAATAAATGTTTTATTTAGGGTTCAGCAAAACAATAGGCAATAAAGATATATTAAATGTAAATAAATTTTCATCAACTGAATCAAGAGCCTAAATAGATTCCACAAAATTGAGAACTAAAAGTATTTACTCAAAGAGTACATTTATACCTCCCTTATCATCCATCTCACTATGCAACCATCTATGTTTATGACAATAGGGGAAAAACCTACTATCTAACTATTTTGCACTTTAACAAGGTATACCAAGCAGTAATAAACACTGAGGTGGAAGGTGACCGTAAATATAACATTCACTGTAATAGCTATGGGAGAAGGATGAGGAATCTCCTCCTCTGTGTTTACCTGCTTCTGAAAACCACCAGAGGATCAGCTATGGATCAGTTCTGACTTTATGGTACACAACAATGGTAATAGCTATGATTAAGGGTCTTATTCACGATTCTAAATGATTTAGAAGTTATGCAAAGATGCTATCTGAAAGTTAGATAATGACAGTGATATTTACTGTGATCCTATATAGTCATCTTCCATTTTTGCAAGACATCAATTTTTGCTTAACAGCCTATTGAAAAATCACAGAAAATAAGAGGTGAAAAGGCCAAAAAGAAATCCCAACTAGACTTGACAACCCTCTTACTTTATATATCAGAAAATTCACATCATTTAACTAAGGACATCTAGCTATAGTAGAATGTACGGTCTTAAATCTAATTTTCCTAAGTGCTGGTCTTGTTATTTTCATAAAGTCAGGACACTAATCTGTCAAAAAAACCCAATATAAGATGTTCTTTTTTGCTTATTTTTAATTTTTAGATAGTCTATTAAACATGTATTGCCTCTGTCATTTAAAAACTACTATGCTCATAGTGCCACTGCTGTAGAATGGGACTGACGTTAGGGTAAGAATGAGAAAAACTGGATGAATTAGGTATACTGCATTTAAACGGATGAAGGAGAGAACAGATTAAAAGCAATATATTATAAGGTATTATGATTATCGTAAGAGTCCGGACTGAAGGTTGCAGAGTGGAGTATACTTGGGGTGGGGGTGGGGGTGGGGGTGTGGGATTGTATACCAATGAAGGAATTTTACTTTTCAAAGAGAAGAGGAGAATGGGGGTAGGGGGTGGGGACGGGGAGAAAAGTGCAACAATGAATGAATGAAAATCCAAAAACTCTTGTAAGTGTTCATGGAAATTAATAATAATTTTTTAAAAAACCCAAAACTACTATGCTTGCTTATCTAGAGAAAAAAAGAAGAAGAAAATTGCAATTATAGTCCACTATATAACGGTTACCTATGGTGGACAGTGTTTGGTGGAGCTCCCAATTTAAGACAAGTTTAGAAGCAGGAGTTGCACTCACTTCCAAAACAACATGCCTCTGAAAACTCTATGCACTTCGTGAAACAATGATAGCTACAGAAAGGCTTCCAGTCTTTTGTTCATAGGGTAACTATGAGTTGTGCTCTACTTGACGACAATCAACAACAAGAACAATGTGGGTAAGAAGGGAGAGCATCAGGTTGTAGTCTATCTCCACATCTATTAAATCTGTATGCTAACGAGCTCTGGTGGCCTAGTGGCAAGAAGCTGCACTGCAATCTGAAAGTTTAGCAGTTTGAATCCACCAGATGCTCTGCTAGAGAAGGAGGGACAATCTCCTCCTGTACCAGTCAGATCCGATTTGACAGTACACGCACACACACACACAAATTAAAATTTAAAAAAAAATCTGTATGCTGAGCAAATTATTCAAGAAGCTGGACTCTATGAAGAGGGATATGGCATCAGTATTGGAGAGAGACTCATCAAAAACCTGCGTTATATGGATAATATAGCCTTGCTTGCTCAAAGTGAGAAGAACTTGAAGCACTTGTTGCAGAAAATCAAGGAATGCAGCCGTACGTATGGATTGCATCTCAATGTCAAGAAAACAAAGATTCTTAGCACTGGATGGACAGGAAACATCATGATAGAAAGGGAAGAGATTGAAACTGTCAACAAATTAATCTTGCTTGGATTACAATTAATACCCTTGGTATCAGCAGTCAGGAAATAAAGGGGACATACTGCACTGGGAAAATCTGAAGTTAGGGGCCTCTCCAAATTATTGAAGAGTAATGATATCAGTTTGAGGACTAAGATGCGTCTGATTCAGGCCACCATCTTTCTAATCATTTGCTATGCATATGATAGCTAGACAATGACTAAGGATGACAGAAAAAGAACTGGTGCCTTTTTGATGTGGTGCTGGAAAAAAGCACTAAACATCCCATGGGCAGCCAAAAGAACAAACAAATATGTCCTGGAGAGGGTGCAGCCAGAGTGCCCTTTGGAGGCAAGAATGATGAGGCTTCGCCTCACATACTTTGCGCATATTGCTAGGAGGGGCTATTCTTTGGAGAAGGACATGATGCTGGGAAGGGTGGAGGGTCAACGAAAGAGAGCAAGACCCTCAACCAGGTGGATCAACACAGTGACTATCACAATGGGTTCTTGTGTGTCAGGAAGGCACAGGATAGAACACAATTCAGATCTTTTGTTCATAGAGTTGCTGTGAGTTATACTTGACTCAATAGCACCTAACAATAACAACATGTATGTAAGGTTTACAGTCTTTGGTATGGATTACATCTCAACATCAAGAAGACAAAGATCCTCACCCCAGGCCCAATAGTCAACATTATGATAGATGAAGAAAAGACTGAAGGTGTCAATGATTTCACCTTGCTAGGATTAACAATCTAACGTCCAGCAGTCAGGAAATCAGGAGATGTATTGTACTGAGCAAGTCTGCTATCAGGGACCTCTCCAAAACTGAAGAATAATGATGTCAGTTTGAAAACTAAGGTGTGCCTGATTCACACTATGGTATTCTTAATCACCTGCTATGCATCAGAGAGCTGGACAAGGAATAAGGATGACAGAAGAATTAATGCCTTTGAGTTGTGGTGCTGGAGAAGAGTATTGAATATGGCATGGACTGCTAAAAGAACAGATATATCTTGGAAAGGCTGTAGTCAGAGTCTTCTTTGGAGGCAAGGATGATGAAGCTTTGCCTTTTATACTGTGGACATGTAGCTAGGCAGAGTTATTCCTTAGGAAGGGACACCACGTTTGGAAAGATGGAGTGTGAGCAAAGGAGAGGAAGAGCTCAATAAAATAGATAGTGACTTCAGCAATGAGCTCAAATGTTGCAGAGATAATGAGGATGGCACAAGATAGGTCAGGTTTCATTATGCGGAATGAAATATCTCAATCACCAAAGGACAAATACTGCATAACCCCACTGTTATAAAACAGGACTGACTTCACCAAAGAAGACATTCAGATGGCCAAGAAGCACATGAAGAAATGTTCAAAATCCCTAGCTCTAAGAGAGATGCAAATCAAAACAACTATGAGATATTATCTCACCCCAGTCAGAATAGCAAAATTT